CAAGGACCCCATGTCTCATAAACTCGCAGTAGCATATGTCCCCATACAGCTGATTCGCAGTTTACTGAGATATACAAGGCTTTTAGTGTGGTCCAGGTTTGAATCAGGAGGAAAAACTCACCATTGTAGCTCATTTATAGCTATTATACTGATCATTCATTTGTTTTGGTCATGGTGTTTTTGCCCTCTCATCACATGCATATGGTTGATTTATGAGTTTTTCAAATATCTTCCTTATTTAGATAAGATAAGATAAGTTAGACCGTTATTCATCCCACATTAGGGAAGTTTCATAGTCATCGTTGTGCACATTGCAGCAGAATAAAAGGAGGAAAAAAGAGCACTCAGGTTATGCACAAATGTTGTTTACCTTGTTTACCTTATTATTTAACTTAAAATGTACACTTTAAGGCGACAGTAGCTCAGTTGGTAGAGCATTGGCCTTTGAACCTGAAGGTCGTGGGTTTGAGCCCACCATGAGACCTACTTCACGACTCCCACTGATGACTGCTGTCGTTGTGTCCTTGGGCAAGACACTTAACCCCACTTTGCCTGAAGCCCCCACTGAAAGATCTCAGCTCCTGTGGACTCACCACCTGCAGGAGGATCAGTGAGGGGCTGGTGCTCTGTGGACTGGGTGCAGCTCTGACTGCCGACCCAGAAATGGATTAAGGGGAAGAAAATGGATGGATGTACACTTTTACCTTGATTTAGCACAAACACAGGAACATGGGGGAAAAGCCTCAACAACAAGAGTGACAGAGGTACACATTCTTGACCAAAGACACCATTTCAGTAATCATCGCGGATAGCTCAACGAAACCATCTCCACGGCCCTGACTTCAGCAGCATGATGACGAGAGCATCTCATCCCTCCAGTTCCTCGACCCCTAGCGTCCCCCAGTGCAGTGCAGCTGACCTCATGTGTTTACTCTGCCATGACTCAGTGAGCAGTCCCGCTGTAATCTCATACTCCCACTCGGAGAGCTAATGAAGACACACTTTCTGATTCCGCTGCTGCCGCTGCCCTCCCCTCCGCCTCACTAACTTCCAGCTTATCACATAACAAAACAAACCACACTCGCCGACCACCTTGAAGCAGGTCTTGGCGCGTTTATGCAACACTACTCATTCCTGTCAGCATTTTTCACTTTTGGTTGCACTTGCCCTGTCAAAACGGAGGAAGCACTTCATTCTTTCTGATTTAAATGTTTTCTCCTTATATTATGACTGCGCTGAAATAAAACAGAAGGGGGTTGTAGGGCTATTGCAACACAGAATACCATCACTAATGAAGCTAATTTATTATGTATTCAAATGTACCTCCGTCAGGGTCTGTATCTGTCATGTGATGAAACAAAGGAAGGACCCAAATTGCAGGAATGTCAAAAAATAATGAATGAATGATGATGAAGAAAAGTCCAGGGGAATAACAACTAAAAAATCCAAACAGAACACGGGAACCAAGAAAACAATATACACGGACAGACAAAGAATCATGGACCAGCGAAAAGAGATGAGCACAGCCGTAGCCGCCCCACTGTGGCACCTGGTTTTGCCATAAGGTCTCCCATCACAGCACTAACCCAGCCCTGACTTGCTTAGCTTCAGAGGTCTGACAGGGTCTAACTTTCACCTGCGGGTATGGCCACATGTAACATTTAGACATTGAAATAAAAATTACAATATCTGCACATATTTGGTGCTCCCTATATGTGAAGTCCTTATCCCAGCAGATCTCAGATGCTAAGCAGGGAAGGGCCTGGTTAGTGCTGTGATGAGAGACCTATGGGAACAGCAGGTCACATTCTTAATTGTGTAAATATTTAAGCAGTTAAAACTTAAGGTAGTCAGGCCTCAGGTTATTTATCAGCCATGCTTCTAAGTTCATAAGTTAATTGTGGTTAGCCATACTTCTAAGTGCGTTCATTCATTCATTGCAGCGGCACATGCTTCTAGGTTCATCGATTAATTGCGGTCAGCCATGCGCCCAAGTCTATTCATTCACTGCGGCTGACTATGCTGCTAAGTCCATTAATTAATTGTGGCTATAACATGCTTCTAAGTTCTTTCATTCATTGTGGTTAGCCATACTTCTAAATGTATTCATCGTGGTTATTCCTTCTTCTAAATGCATCATTGGAACATTATCTGTTAAATATTGAACAAAAATACATAATTATTTTCCTTTCATGAATAAAAGCTTAGAAGGGAAGGATTTTTAGCACTTTTTTTTACTGAACTACTAATTAACCTGTGTGTCATTTATCATTACGAAGATAATTTATTCTCGTCAATTTCATTTCAACTGTTCAAATCAAATGTATATGAGAAGAGAATGAGAATAATGTAAAAATAAAGCTAACCTACTGTACCCACTGTACTTAAATATGTATTCTGCCCCACCTCCCCGCTCCTGTTACCCTATAAGTATCGCTTGTGCCGGCTCTTTCTCTCATGTATACAATATTTAGTATGCACTTCCAGACTGCTCACTCTTACAAATATTTAGTATACAGACCTCTCATGTTTATTCAAAGGACTGGGTTACTCTGCTTGGGGAAGATAGTCAGAAAAGGGAGGAACAAGAAACCTTTGCTAAATGAAAAGTGATGATTTATGTCGCAGATAATGTAAAAAGACAAATATGTTTGCCGGGTCAAGCTCGAGCATTGGATAGATCCACTTTCTGCCATTTTGATTGGATTTGAACAGGGGATAGATAGTGGGAATTCCATTACTGTAAATATATAGCAGTGTGCGGTTGTGTGGGTGGTCTGTGCTCGCTATCACTATGCAACACAACACTTCATTGGTATTTGGAAAAGGAAATTAATATTACGCAGAGTAATTGGTGTCATAAAAAACCCTTTGACCATTGAGCCCCAACACAATTCTTTTGAAATTCGTGGTGAGATTATATATGAATTATTGTTTTGGCCATCACAATTATTATGAAACTGTTATTTTATGTTTTATATTATGAAATGATATAAAACAATTGAAAATACACAGTGAAACAAGTATCAAGGGTAAACAATGCTATCTGCCTTTATTGTTAAAATTAAATTAGACCACGCCCCACCCATTTCCTCAAGTTCAGTCTTTGCCTAATTATTGGAGGAAATGTGCGGAGTCTGCTCTGCTCCTGCTTGGTCTGAATGAAAACCTGCAGCCACAATGGCCCTTTTTGGAGCGGTTTAGACTGAAATGGCGGAGTTATATGTTTGAGCCAGAGTTCCTGAATATTGCATGGATGGATCAAAAAAAACAATGTGGTAACATGGATAAAAACAAGTATAAAAGCAACTATGGTATTTTTAAATCTGAATAAATGAATGCTGTTTTTTAGGTAAACGTATTACTTACTTTATTTATTTATTTAATAATGCTCTAAATGACAAAACACTACCTTTATTGATGCCAAAATGCATATTTTTATAACACTATCTACAAGCAAAGTGAGACATGCTATATAACATTTACTCAACATATTGTGTTTAAAGATGAACAAAGTTCATCTGTTTTTTTATTTACAATACATGAATAAAAAATATCACTTACATTACAATGGTAAAAACAACAAAAGTCTTAAATAATTATTTTATTTGTGTAACTACTTAAATAAAAAATAATGAAAATGGTTATTCTATTCACACCACGTCGTCTCAGCAGCTACAATGCAACTTTCACATTAAGTGCTAAAAAAGTATACTTTGTAATTGTACAGCATGAATTTCATTTTGACTGATTTCACTCAGCAAACACAAGTAAGCAGAAAGATTGAAAAGAATAATGCCTTAAGATCTTAGTTTAATAACACGCACTAACGAGAGAGTACTTTGCTGCAATTTTAAAATAAAGATGAAATGTGTGAATGATAATGATGTGACTATGATGTGTTCAGACGTGTGGCTCCAGACGGTCCCAGTGCAGGTGAATGAGGAGCAGAGGCGTCTTCTCTTCAAACACAGCTGATCGACAGTACGCGTGTTCCAGACAGCACTAATGAAGCACGTGCCACTCAAGAATTACACGGACTCCACCAACTGCTCTAATTGACTTTATGCAGGCACAGACATGCATTGTAAAGAGAAGAAAAACAATACTTATACCCCTGTGTTTAAGAAGAACAGAGAAGAAACATGAACTGAAGAGTTTTGTGTAAAACGTTCTCTCCCATATATTATTAAGCTTACAAAAATAAACCCTCCTCTATGAAAACAATAATAACGCTAAGTAATAGGTAAGCTCTACTGTATATGAAATATACAACATGGTCCTGTCTTGTCCCTTTGAACGTGGCTCCATTTTAGTGAGTTAGCCCTTACCATGAACCTTTAACATGTTATGTTCAGAAATAATGAACCAAAAGAAGATTATGCAGTGCATAGAGCTCACAAACTCCATTCCGGTTTTTAGGACTGCTGTGAACAAGCAAAGTTCCCAGTCTCCACAAATGTTGTGTAAATCAGCCCTCTGCTATGTTGTGAAGTAAATGTTCTGAAGTGTCATTTGGAATAGGTTCTAAAGGCTTCATTGGGATGTTGTTCCCACAGTGTCCATGCACACTGATATTGTTCTTTTTTTGTTTAAAACTTGAACTCATCATAAACACACAGCATCCTGACAGAGCCCCATAACGCGAAATAGTCTGAAGCGAGAGTCCATGGGGGCTGCAGAAAGGCAACACATGAAGTCTTCCATCTAGCTGTCCCTTCAAACGTCTTGAGCTGCTCACTGACAGTCACTGAGAGTCACTGAGAGTCCCGTCACCGCGTGGGTGTTTTCAGATGGAGGGGCGTTACCCCATTTCTTGGCCATGCTTGTGAATGATTATGTCACAGCTGTGAACGAGGCTTGGATGCCAGGCCTGGTGCTCTGAAGCTATGTAGCTTATAGGTAAGTGGGTCGAGGTCTGGTGTGGTGTAGAGGATGCTGCTGCTGCTGCTGCTGCTGCTGCTGGTGGTTGCTCTGGGAGGAGCAGGGGAAGCATAGCCCTATACGATGTAACTGGTCAGGTCCAGGAGGTAGGACGTCATGCCCATAATGTGGTCGATGATGCCGTCTCTCTCCTGGTCATTGGGCATCCCTTGCTCACTCTTCTCACACATGTCTCCAGAATAACCGCTCTTACACAGGCACTTGTTTGGCTCCAAACACACACCACCATTGCGACAGCCTGGCTCACACTTTGCTATAAACAAACACATAAAAAGACAGACACACATTTAGTTACACTTACTATCTTTATAAAACACTTTCAGAAGCTTAAAAGGAGGTGTGTGTGTGTGTGTGTGTGTTTGTGCGTGCGTGCTGTTCATGTTCATTTTGGTAATATATAAGAAATGTATAACAAAACAAACAAAAATTAAACAAGGAATATCTCTGACGTGGAGAGCTGACTTTGGGCATTAAACACAAGTGTAATTTGAAAAATGTACAAGTTTTTCACTTTACTAATGTTCATACCACGCAAAGCAATAACAAGCAGGCAGTGGATCCCATTAAGTAGAAAACACAAAGTATTGTATTCCGCTAAATACAGTTTGTACAGTCACACCCTGCAAATGACCAATGGCAGAGTGGGTTTTCCTCCAAGAATCTGTCCATTCAAATCAATAGCCTGTGCTCTTTGATGTATGGTCTTCCTATAATAGCGGAATATAATTTCGGCCACCTCTGGTCCTCCCGGTCTTGGGCAGTAGCTGTGCCGTTTGTGGTACTGCGGACTGCAGAGGGGAGCACTGCGCCGCGCTTGTGCACATGACATGACAAGACCAACCTGCACACGCGCAGATTAGAGCAGGCCATAGCAGGCCAGAGCGAGCCGAGGTTATTGCACAATTGTGTGGATTTTTGGAAAACTGACGCATTTCAAAAGAAAAAAAAAGAAAAGCTGTAGGTTCTATGATAGTAAACCTTGCGGTCTATGGGAACATTTCTGGGTAGACCTGGTGAATTTAGACTGTAGTAGTGCGGGTGTTCCACTACCATGCCGTGGCTGGGGTAGCAATACCCTATCCAAATAATATAATACATCAATGGTTTATAATCCTCCAGCCAATCTGCGCACTTTAAATCCACAGTTTACAGAGTGAAGGATGCACAAAACGCGTGGGTTTGCTTGTCATACAACCAGGAAAGGGTAAAACATGCATTTATTTCTGGAACAATTTACAGATTAGTTTTATTGTATTGTATGTACTTTATTTGAACAGGGACTGTGTACAATTAAGCATTAACACAAAAGGAGAGATGCATGTACCAGGTTATAGCAGAGATACTAATTTCCACCTGTAGTCCCTGGGTAGGCTGGTGTTATGTATTTTATACACACACACACACACATATATATTGTATATATATATATATATATAAAGATCTTTCATAGTGATACAGTGATAGTGTGCATGACTCACCCACTCTACAGAAGGGTCCTTCCCAGCCAGGGCTGCAGCAGCACTTGCCCGTGGGCGTGCAGTGGCCATTCTTGCAGTGTCTGGAGCAGGCTGTCATCAGTAGCTCCGGAGGCTCTACGGTACGATGGCATTCTTTAGGAGTAAACGGCCTGAAATCAGAGACAATAATGTTACCTCTCATAGAATACACACTCATATACACAGTATAGTACGTTTAATGTATTTTCGTTTTGGTTCTTGTCTAAATGAGAGTTTGTATGCATCTAATTTCCAGTTTGTCATTGAGATTTTTTTTCTTGGTTGTCTTGGCCCTCTTCTGTCCTTGCTTGATGAGGGAAACAGTCTTCTCATTTGTTTTAAACATGATTTGGAGAGTGCAGACAAACACATCCCTTGGCCATATGTGTAATGTCGACACCAGCACGGAGCCCAGTTGTGATTATTCCATAAAAAACATAAACACACGCAGATCACTTCATATCATGGTCAGAAAATCTGGAAATAATAGTTAGTAATGGAGTTTAGATGAGAAGAACAGATAGTGGCTGATACACAATTAGAAATTTGAGTAATGTTCACAAACCTGAGTAAGCCTAGGTTTGTGAACATTACAGTATACCATTGGGATACTTTGTCTGGATAATTGTCTGGAAGTTGCAGATATTTGTACAATGGCTCTGCATGTTCTGCATGTTCAACCATGGTGCATTTAAAAGTAAAATGTCTATTACATTTATTCGGAGAAAATCAGTGGGGGTGATTCCCATGCTCCCATCAGCACCCAACTCCAGACACGATCATAGTGCTTTTGTTGTTGCAGGCTGCGTGTAGTTAAGAAAAAAGTGAAAGAGGAACGCACACAGAAAGCGAGGGAAAGCGTGAAAGTCCCAGGAGAGATGGGGGTCTGTAGCTAACACTGTTAATAGCAGGCAGGGGTCAGCGGCGCTACTAAACACTCTGTATGAGTGCCAGGGTGGCTGTGAAAACAGCACCTGCTGGTAGCTCCACTTGACAAAGGCAGCTGGGTCAACAGCCACTGTGGGAATTTATCAACTTTGTGAGGGGTGTGAAGGAGCCTGGATATGGGAGATGGGCTGCACTGCTATTTATGTACTAGAAAAGCACATTACATAAACTGTAAACAGTAGAAAGGTAGCAGGTAATTTCATGTGAAATATGCTAATGATTGTGATATGAGTCAAACCACAGATGTTGTAACTTGTATCAATGGTGTGCGTGCTGCACTGAATGATTGACACAATGTATATGTGAGAACGAGGCCGTTGAGTGGTGTACATTGTGCACCCTGACAATGACTTCATCAAATGGCCCCGTGTGGGCTCTATTGGCGTTTTGTCATCTGACTCCATTGTTTGGGGGTTTCTTTTGTGGCTTCATTCCTTGTTTTAATTGTGCTAAAAATTTACTGTGTATTGTAGATGCCAGAGCTATTCAGTGGAACTGGCAAGCTGCTTTGTTACGAGAAGGACCACAGAAGAGATGGACGAAGATTTAGGAGCATTGGGAAAATAAAGAAAGGCTTTTTCTGCAGCGTTCAGGGAGCTCACAGATGTGCATGTTCACGTGCACACCCCACCCACAGCTTTTATATCTGTACACAACACTGATGAATATATTCAACACCGAGACACCACTGCTGTACATCTGTGATTTGTGACTTCCATCCATTGCTAATGCTCTTCATAAAGGAGCTCCCAGGAACCCATTCAGACTTTACTGAGGCTCTTTAAGCTCCCTGCTCACTGTAATTGAATAGTGCAAGCTGCAGCTGACAAACCCAAATGTGTGACGAGCCATTCAGGAGGTTGGCTTTTCTTCAATTTGTAAAGTAAGGTCAGAAAGGCAAGTGAAAAAGTGAGTGACATACAGTTTCTTACAAACTGGAAAGTCATTGAGAATGATTTGTTTTATTTTATTTTAAAAGACCATTTAATGACGTTGATGGTATTTGTCACAGTAATAAAAATTAAGCTTATTTTAATACAATTATTGAGTTACTAAATAAGATTATACTCAAAAAATCATCTATGTCATGACCTTTTTATAGAGTAGAAAGAGCACAGTGACGGCTGTGCAGTCCACTATGGAGCTACATCTGCCATATTGATCAAGCACAAACACACATGTTTTAAGAAGAGGCTCTATTTGGATCATATTTTTGATAAATGCATCCGTCCATAAAATCTGTAGAACATGGTAAGGGGAAGGTCAAATGTTGAGCATCTTCTGGTCATCATATGTGATTTATGACTGGAAACATTTCTCTCTTCAGTACAAACAGGCCCTGTCTTGCTCTCACTCATACACACACATGCAGCATGTTACAAAATGCATGGTGGCCTATTTATTATTGGAGGGGTACTCCAACTGACAAACAAATACCTAGAAATGAAGTCATCTGGCCAGGACATGTTTACACAAACACTGCTGGGATTTTATAGCCAATGTTTCCCTGTACGCCTTTACTGCACTGCTGAACAATTCCTCGTTCTTTCTGTTCCCAAACACACACTTGATCAAAATACAATGCTATAGCAGACCACAAAACCACTGTATTCTTAAACAAAGCTCTTTCGAAGAGGCCTAAAACTCCAGATGTACTACAGCAGAGCAGAGAAGGACCACCAGACTTGATAAAGTGCTGAGGTCAGTCACACATGTTAGCCCCTTTGCTCTGCTGTCACTCGTTCTGCTCCTCCCTGAAACAGGATCCTAATAATGAAGCTGCAGCCAGACTCCACCACTGACTCAAAACAGTTGAAAATGGAAAAAAATGTTTCAATTCTTTCAGAGAAGCATATCCTACAAGATCCCAAGAAACTGTATTAGAGTTTACACAGAGTATATAGCTCAGTATTGTCTTTATGATTTAGTCACATCTTCTAGTGTGATGTAAATCTTGTATAGGCACATTTCACTCATGGCCAATGATTCACATGATCTGCTGTGACAATGATCACTCGGCACTGAGCCATGCAGTAAAGCCACCATAGTTGGTTAGCTAAGGCGATTCCTAATTGTAAGCCGGATTTAAGTGTTTGAAGGGAAAGGAGGGAAATAAGGGAGAAAGAATCCAAAATATCACATATGCTTGAAATCAAACAGTTATGACGGATTGCAGGACGGAATGAGGAAATATTTGTTTTGAGGAAAGAGATACAAGATTTGAGTTTCTGAAGAGTTTACCTATTCAGTTATATGAACACAGGAAATTACAAAATTATCCTGTTTTAAATGTATTTATGTTTTGTCACATAAACATGTTCACCCCAATGGGCAAACATATGGAGATTGGAACTGGAATGGACACATACATTTTGAAGAGAGCTCATGTTTTTTACACGGTGTGGCAATGTCTAAGTGCAACACATGCAGTCAAACATGGCATCACTGTTGCTGGTCTCGTCACTGTCTATGGCATGTGTTCAAGCAATGACTTGTTTTGAGTCACATTTTTGCATTTAGAGTGAGTAAGGGAATGTGTGCACAGATGTGATCACTCACACTATAAACAAGGATTTTCATATCAGAGCTGCAGCTATTGATTCTATCGATTGTCAGATTTTTTATTTTTTTATTTTGACTTCCTCCAAAAAAATGCTGGCGGCATGAATGGTACTACATTTCACTGCACAGGCCAAATAGACAACAAAATACAGGAAAGGAAAACAATTGACACTAAGGAACTAATATTTAATAAATCAAGCACATACTAAAAGCAATCGACTGCAGGATTGAAACGTTTCAACGTAAAAAACAAACAAAAAATAGAGATTCCAAGTTAAAACAAATGTGTTTCTAAATGAAATTCAGGACAGAAAAATGTTCGTCTTATTGATTGTCTTTATTATTCAAATAACATGTACAAACCGGACAGCATAAAAGTAGTACTGAAGAAAAACAGAGAGGAGAGATGGTGATGCCTTCAGGACAGAGCAAGTAGTAGAAGAGAGGTGTAGGGTCAGAGAGTGTTTGGGCCTTTCTTACCTGAGTGGTTGTGTGTGTGTGTTTAATCTCCATGGACACCTGTGTGTATATTTGTGAAAAGGAAACCATTGTAGCAGCTGTGATTGGCATGTACCTTTTAGGATCCACCAATTTGTAGAGCTTTCCACTGTGCAGCTGTGCCATGCTTTTGCTGCTTGCTAAAATGTACACCTCACCTGCATAGAAGAGACATGAACGCATAATTAAATAAAAAAAATATCAATTTATTGTATTAGATGGAAAAATTTGACAAACGTTTCAAGCTGAGGTACCCAACATTAAAAATATTTACTGGTAACTATATATTAAAATCAATTTATTAACCCAAACATCCATTCATCCTTCCATTTTCTACCGCTTAATCCATTTCTGGGTTGGGGGGGTGGCAGTCAGATCTGCACCCAGTCCACAGAGCACCAGGATCAGTGAGGGGCACTGATCCTCCTGCAGGTGGTGAGTCCACAGGAGCTGAGACCTTTCAGCAGGAGCTTCAGGCAAAGTGGGGTTAAGTGTTTTGCCCAAGGACACAACAACAGCAGTCATCAGTGGGAGTCGTGAAGTAGGTCTTGTGGTGGGCTCGAACCCACGACCTTCAGGCTCAAAGGCCTCTACCAACTGAGCCACTGTCACCCTTAACCCAAACAGTGTGGTTCAATTCCTTGTTTTCACAGACATATATCTTTAGCCTCTGTCACATCATAAGATCACCTTATTCTAACAGAGAAGATAATGAGACTATTAGATCCATCCATTCTTTTTCCTTCGCTTTATCCATTGCCAGGTCACAGGGGCAACAGTTCAAACGGAGACGCCCAGACATCACTGTCGTAACACACTTCCGTCAGTTCATCTGGAGGAATCCCAAAGGCGTTCCAAGGCTAGCTGAGAGACATAGTCACTCCAACGTGTCTTGGGTTGCCTTTTGGAGGGACATGCCCAGAGCCTCTCCAGAGAGGTGTCCAGGAGGCATTCGAAACAGTTGCCCGAGCCACCTCACCAGCTCTAAGGGAGCCCAGCCACTGAGAAGGAACTCATTATGCAGCTTGTATCCGCAATCTAGTCCTTGCGTTCATTACCCAAAGCTCATGACTATTGGTGAGGATGGGAACGTAGATTGAAAAGTAATTTGAGAGATTTGCGTTTTGGCTCAGCTCCTTATTCACCACAATAGTCCAATACAGCTCCGAATGCAGACGCTGCTCCCTCTTCGGCGGCAAGCTTAGGCAGCAACGTCTGCTCCACCTCTCCACCACCTAGAGAGGGCAAGGCACCTTTTTCCTGATACTTATGAAGCTGATCATATAATTATATTGAACAGGACCCAATGCAGTTGAAACCTTTTACCCTTAGACAATTTTGATAGAAATTTTAAAAATGCAGAGTTGGCAAGAATCCCTAGTACACATCTCTGCAGGCCATTTTTGCCTAATACAAAACAGCACATTTGACTTTTGTTCAACAACAAGTTCAAGAGTTTCCATAGTCTGCTGACTTCAACTGACTCAACCTGATCAACATGTGCCAGAATTTCTTGTGTAGAAATTGTGTTGGACATAGTTTGAATATTTCTATCCCTTTTTCAGTAAAACATAAAGTTTAGGTTGCAGTTTTGTGGTTCACAAATAAGACATTACACAGTAGAAGTAGTACTCACCCAATTCATCTTCTCCAAAGCCCAAAATGTTTCCAGCAAGTGCTGTACCACATGAGGTGACAGAGCCAAGACACAGAGGTTTTTCCTGCCACTCCTCACTACTTGACACGGACGATTTCTGCAAAATCCTTAAATTACTGAAAAAGAAACACAAAAGTAATTTAGTATAACAGAGGGACTCATCCCAAGGTAGGTGTGGATTTTATACCAATCAAGGAACAACCCCTTGGACATTTTTCTTGGAATTCTGCTCAGCTGATTAACAATTATCTGATTATTTTGGAGTAAATGATCATCATATATGATTAATAATTTGGACACAGCATATATATTGCAAGTCAATCATTTATAACTCTCAAGAAGCATAATTCAAATGAATAAAAACTAATAATTCATATTTATTAACTTGTCTATGATGAATACATTTTGACAACATGAGCCGGTTGCTGCAGTGGGGGCTGTAAAATCCAAAGAGTAATCTCTCGCGAAAAAATCTGATGATTTAATTAATAATTAGCCCCTACATATTTCTCACTTTCATCCACATTTTAATCCACACGTAAATTATCTTGGGGCTGAAGAGTTTGACTTGTTCCTGGCCCTAAACTCACTGTTTCGGAAACATAAGTGAGTCAAAGACAGACAGTGTCTTTACCCCTCCTAATTAGTCTTTCACTGTGCTTGGCTAAAACATGGAACATTTAGTGTAATAAGTGTTTGATCTTGATAAATAAGAGTACATACAATTTCCCAAAAAAATGTAGATCAATATTGTTCTGGGCTATAGATGCCTGTGTCAAATATTATAGCAGAGCCAGCACTAAGTGACAACAACGTGCACATTTATGTGACTAGAATTTTCTATTCTATGTCAGCTTCAAATATGTATCATGCATCAAATATTTACTTAATTAAGCTCCTGAAACTTCAAGAAAGTATCAAGTTCCATTGACTCAAAATGTCTATTTACTCGCTTTAGGCTATATATCCATCCATCCATCCACCCCCCTTCTGTTGAACGTATAGGTTTAAAATACATACAGAATACAGATTACTCTAAAACATGTTTCCTCTTTGGACCAATGCTGAGTGTTTACTCATAAATTACATGGTTTCAGAGGTATACGTATATCTCGATATTGCCATAAAAGACTCACCCATTTTTATCTCCGAACACATAGCTTCCATAAAGCCGCCTTGATTGGCAGCCTCTGTAGATAAAGCCCCCTACAGGTGGTGCGCCGCCATTGGAGAGCAAGTTATAGACAGAAGGCTCATTTTCTAGGTGTAAAAGGAAGATATTTTCAAACATCCATCCAACAACAATGGCGCAGGAGTCTTCTGAAAGATTATACTTGACATTACCGTAATCCTTTCCTTTAGAGATTTCCAAAATTCTCCCAGACGTGGTGTTTCTCCCAGTAGTATCTGTGCACACTATTGATAGACTTCCATTGTCCCCTTGGAGTCGATCCACTGCACATCTAACACAGAAAAAGTCAGGGGTAGGTAGTTGCTTTGGCAGACAATTCCTTTTTAGTTACAAAATCAGAAAAAGCCTTGGCATGACTGGTATTGAGAATTTATATCAGTCATAAAAGACATTTTTGGCTTGAATTGAAGTCACCTTTAAGTTCCACTGACCTTCCTGGGTCGTGTAATCCATGTGCAAAGATTTCAGGTGGCTGATTGGTGCTGTTGAAATATGGATTGTTGAGTGGTATTGAGTATGGTGAAGAACAACAGTCTGTATCTACATCCACTCTCAAGATGGAGCCTGTAAAATCACTGAAAACACACACACACGCAATATGAGTACATTTAAGATAGATTGATTGAATTCAGACTGCTTTTTCACATGGTTTGTGAGGTATTATCTGACCTAAGTCCATCCATCTCCTCCATGTCGTCAAGCGTTATCATGCCATCTCCCAGAACAATGTGCAGCAGACCATCTGGGCCAAACAGCAAGTGACCACCGAGGTGCTTTCGGTGCAGCTCTGCAACTTCTATCAGCATTCGCACTGTCCGGGTGTCCACCTGGTTGGTATTTTTCCTAACACACAAAATATACAATTCAAGTTATTGCTAATCATATATACACACCGTTCCAAGGAAATGTGTCCCATCCCTCAATCCCACTAGGATAGCCTGTCAGGAGCATTGACCGCCACAGTGCAGCACCTGGGATCCATCTCCAGATGTATATGCTCGCATGGTCAGGACTAACGAAGCTGGAGGACTTTACCTCTAGTGCATGTTCAAAACATGTAAGACTGAAAGCTTACACAAACTTGTAGTGCATGTTGGTACATATACTGGATGTTAATACATCCTGGATTTCCTGTGTTCAGTTCTTTCTCTCCCTGTCTGTGTCCATCACATCAAAGCCTTTCTTCCCCATTTGTCTTTGTATATGAATTATGTTGCCCATTATGTTATGCATGTTTTTGGGTATATTGCGTAGCTAGGTTCCGTTTCATTAAAGGTCCTCTTACTTTTCAAATTAAGGATGGAAAGAGATTGTTTTATGTGCCAGTTAAGCCTGCCCCCAGGTTTAACTGCCCCTGCCCCTCATTAGACACAATTAATTCAAATTATAACAAACTGCTGAGGCCCCTCACCATTGGTCTAACTGTCTTCCTTCAGGAAATATTACTGATCCTCTAAGAAAAGGGAGTGTTTCAAATCTATTTCTGATGAAAGTTACTTAATATAGATTATACAACAGAGTCATATGGTCAGAAATACTATTATTTCTGACCAGAAAAAATATTTTCAAAATGAAATACAATTTAAGTTGCAGACATCACTTTTTAACTTACAACAGAAACTATAACTTATGTTATGTAACTTAACAGTTACATAACATATATTATATTACTGCATAACCTGAGCATTTATTTACTTCCAGCAGTACTTTGAGTTAAGTATATCTATAATAACTGTAAGCAAAGGGTGCCGCTGACAGAGCAGGTCAATAATTCAGAGAAGAATTAGAATACAATAGTTTGCTCACATTATGAAATTGTCTGATTGAGGAAGAGAGCTGGTGGATCAAATGTAGATCTACACAACTTTGAAGTGTTGTGAAATGAGTGGATTTGGAGTCTGAGCAAAGACTTTCTAAAAATTGCATGTGAAAATGGATGTTTCTATACAATTTGAATTAGTCTGATTATCCTCACTTAAAGCAGACAGTGTGACTACTTACAGAGACAATAATCATAACCATTAAAACATTAAAGTCATTATGTGAGTAAAAGTTGAATTAACTTTCAAATCCACAGGTAAGTCTGAAAAAAGTTAAAACGTCAAACTTCAAAACACACTTGTAAGTTATTATCAAAACCTCATAGAGTTCTCAATGTGTTCTGGGGCAACCTCCTATTGTCCTGGTTTAGATTTGATGCAGGTCAAATAATCACTAAATGATAAATAGAGAGCAGCTATCCCTAGGTTGCAATACTGGATGGAACAATCAGACAAAGAATAAACCTGTTTTGAAATATGCCTTACCTTGAAACAGTGTACTCCACAACTCTGAGAATGTGGTCGTGTGGTCCAATAGCCCAGCGCTCCTGGTTGGTGGTGTAGGACACGTAGAGCTTGCCATTCTTCTTGTAGTTGGGGTGGAATGCAATGCTAAGCAGCCCTCTTTCATCTCCACTCTGTAGTCATTGAGAAAGATCCAGAAGTTAATCATGCTGCTCTTGGAATACCCCCCTCAGATATCTTCAACACAACATGCAATAACTACGCTCTATATTATTCTATTATAATCCCTCTTTTTGTAAATCCTTTAAATTCTTGTGTTTTTTCCTCTCCGTCCAAAAGCAATTCACTTCACACCTTCACCCACCTTACAGAATGTGCCATTAACAGGTATTACTCTGAATGTGACTTTGGAGGGAGCTGTACCTCCTCTACAATCCCCTTTACCCACTTTTGAGAGGAGCCTGGTTATGTGCGCTTGTCCTTAGGGTCAGGGGCCCCTGTGACGCCCGGGCCCTCCCGGTGGCCTCCATTGTGCAGTGATTTGTGTGTGTAATCTTCAGGGGATATCCGTGAATGCTATACTGAGTGGCTGAAAGAATTTATTAGCTCACTCACAGTTCATAGAGAGCACAAAAGTGCAGAGTACTTCAGTCTATGCTTTTTGCTCCCTGCTCCCCTTCACTCATACAATCCCTGCAAAACTGAAGTTTAAAAAAAAAAATGAGTAGCGTATAGAAGAAAAAGGAAACTGCCATCTCCACTGTCTGGGCAACATGTTTAGAAAACATCTAAATAGCTTGTGTAATATGAAAATCTTTGTTTCTCCCTGGAGGCAGCTGAATCACTGGCCTCTATGCTGGTGGTCCAGGCATCATAGTTAGCTGAAATAATGATATGGCCAGGTTGGCCCCTCTTTATAGCAAACGTTTCTTTATTAGAAATGAATGTGTGGTTTTAATGCAAGTCTATGTATTCATTTCCATATACATAAATCCAGCAGAAAAAAAGATAGAAATGTTAAATCACTTTTAGTGATCTAGTTTAGTTTTATGGTCTTGCTACTAAGGGTGGTGGCCCTGTGTTTGTGGAAGCAAAACAACAAGCCAAAGAACACATGTAGTTAAATATCTTGGATCTTTTCCTTGTCTGTGGACTTCATGCATTTGTATATGAAGCCCATATACAAATGCAAAATAGATAACTCCATTTGAAATCCACATACCAAAGAGAACCAATAGATCCTACATAATCACCTGCTATTTTAATGTCGATATAAAGTGAAATGTGAAGTAAACAAATACACATTTTTTTGCAAAGTTCTTTTGCTCTTAAATTTATGAGTCCTACTAAATGTCAGATTGCTGAAGTCAAATAAAGAGGAGTTATGTGGGAGGGAGCAGTGTACTGCTGGATGTTAGTCCAAGCAAAGGTGAATGCACTTTGCCAAAGAATGTCAGAAAATTGTATCCAGAGAAGTCAAAGGTTTCCTGAAAAGCAGGATCCATATGTTGAATTGGGCGATGCAATGACCCATACCACCATAATAAACTCACTGTGGGGAGCTAGTCAAAGACCGCAGTACTAAAAAGGCCAGGATCCGGAGCCAAGGGAAGACCACCAAGACACACAGTGTTTAAATGGGTTGAAATATTAGCTCTGAGCTAATGAGCAGCTCCCTTAGGAGCAGCGTAAGGGAGAGCTGGCAGAGAGGCAGCAAGAAACTAACTGTGAGACCACAGAAGCGTGTGAGGAGACGCCATGATTTAAGTGACAGACAGCCAAGTTTGTATGTGTACTGTGTGTGCATATATATATATATATATATATATATATATATATATATATATATATATATTGTTTCTTGTTTCTTCCTACACCTGTCTGTGTGCTTGCTCTCGTCTGCTTTCTGGGGATGCGGTTTTGGCACTTTCAGAGTTTTGGCTTTGTTCCACACAAAACTGGTAAAGTTATGCTAAAGGATAAGGAGTGGTGGTTATATAACATCTTGTGGTTCTTAAAATGCAATATAACTTCCTCTGAGTGGTACACGGCTCCAAAGGATCCAGTTTGCCGAGACAGCTGTCTTTGCACCCAGGGACACAAGTGCTGGGTCATACTTTGTTAATAGAAACCGTTTGATCCCAGCTTGTGGGCATTCCTGCACCAAAGACATTCCGCATGAGCTGATAGGATGGGAGCAACGATGTGAATGAATGTTCTTGTTGCCTAGAATCTTTCTAAGAAGTTTAAGTGTGTCAACTCACAAAGCTTGATGTATCTCATATGTTATTAGTGTGAGCAACAGGTGGTTCTTTTGAATTATGAATAATCATTACTGTTCAAATGTGAAGGCAACCTTCTGATGTAAGTAAACCCTTATTGTCAAAACAACTGTAATTGTAACATAGAAAATACATTCTCTTGTCGTTTCTGAGAGATGTGCTTCGCTCCAGTTGGCTACTCTTTCTATAGATTAAATGTAAGGATGGGTAGCGGAGTTTATTTTAGCTTGTACGGAGCACCCAGAGCTTGTGATGACTGCTGAGAATGCTCAGCAGCTGTCTCAGAGGAAAGATAAAGTGACTTATTTGTTTTGGTACTAAAACATTTGATCGCCCCCACCCTTTTACACAGTGCATACCAGAAGAGTGAGTGTCAAGCCGGTTTTAATAACTTAATCTACATATATAATCCCACTGCGTCATTTCAATAAGACATACATTTAACTGTGAGCTAACATAAACTGAAGCTGTAAGCAATAAGAAACACTGTTCAAACTCAAAGAGTTGCAGATGGAAGATCTGCTAAAACGCCAAATCACAGCCAATTCAAGAATGCAAAAAAATTCAGAGCTAAATTATGCACAATTAAAAAATCTGGATCATCTTCAGGACCAATTTACCAATGAGAAGTGAAAGTGTGTGTGGGGGGGATAGTGGAGAAGCCAAACAGAGAGGTTGGATTTCAGCTGTAGAACACCCACGGCGCAGTTAAGAGTCCCATACTGCTACAGCACAGTATTGTTTTTGTGCAGTTTGGCTTAATTGGCACCGGGGGGATCCGAGCAAGGGGAGCGAGGAAATACAGAACATTACAATCAAAGCATGTGCATGGGGCTGATGATAAAGCCGTTATCTGACAGGTCTCTGGAGGGGCCAGGTCCTCTCTGTGTAAAAGTTCTCCATCCTGTTGACAGTGCCAGTAAACACCTGAGCCTCTGTTGGTTGTGTCCAGCACTTCCCCTTCAGCTGACAGCAGCCAATGGGACTCTCGAGACTCTCCGGGCCATGTCGGACTGCTGTTATAATCATTTTATTCACATCCATATTGGACTGAATGAAGAGAAGTGTGCAGAGCAGAGCTACCGGAGCTTCCTGTGGGGAGCATTCAGCTGCTGTGCTCTGATTGACTTGGTGTAAGCAAGCGGGTCTTGTCAGCCAAAAAGCAAGAGCCATGCATGATAGATAAACTTCCGGTCCAAAAGTGTGCCCACCACGCAACACACAGGATCCAACTTCATAAACAACTTTTCATGACGTTCAAGTCTGTTTAACATGTATTTTTGCAAATAAAATATATGTTTAAAATAGTGGCAAAAGGCAATGTTAATATCCCGTCAGATAAAACCACTTAAGTTACTTGCTTCTCAGCCAAACGTACGTAGAACACATGTCAGAAAGATGCGCTGCAGTTGTGGTAGCTTCTGTACAAATGCTTGTACAGGCTACAATACTAATTGGGTCATTATTTTAGCTGGAGGGAAGGACTGAGTAAGCCGTCATGTGGGTTATTACAACCCTTGAACGGACAATGTGGAACAGATTAAGAAACCCATTAACCCATCTTGTGTGAATTAGCAGAAAATGAGTAGTGAGCACAATGTGTTCTGTGCGTACAGTTAATTAGAGAGTAATAATGCAATAATTGAACACAATTACATTTGACAAATGGCTGCGTGTTTAGACGTATTATATTATCTATTACTAATAGACTCTAGGTAATTCCTGTGAACCATGACTTTTCATTTTTTGCTTATATCTAAAATGTATGTGTCTCACTGCATAATGGAAACATAGGTTAAGAAACTTTGGGTAAGTAGAGGAAGTCATACCTTTATTCCATTTTGTACAAGTTTGTGGATGTCGAGGAAGGGCTCCTTGAGCATGACCAGGTCGTGGGTGAGGACTCGGACGATGCCCTCCTTCTCGATGACAAAGAGCCGCTGGGATCCATCCCCACAGTGCACCGCAGCCACCGGCTGCCTCAGACCACTCAACACCTCCTGGGCACAGTAGCAGTTGTGTTTGTGTTTCCTGGGCAACCGGCGAGACACAAAGAGTTAAAACTTATAGATCTTGCATTTTGAGGCAGTTTATCCTGAGGTATTACAGGCCAAAGGGACAGAAAGTTCTGTTCTGTCACATTTGGATGAGAAAATGCAACACATGTGTGCAACATGCATACCTAGTATTGTAAAAACCAGATGACAAACCTGATATCTTCTATTTTCTCATCCCCCAAGTAGTTGGAATCCTGTCCATGAAGTGTTTTTCGCTGAAAATCGGGAAAGCAAAGGCTGCCATCCTTCCTTCCATAGTATTGGCAGAACTCATCCACATCAGCTTGGAAAAGCTCTAAAAGAAACAGTAAAAAAGTATAACCATTTATACTGTATCATACAAATAAGCTTTGTTAACATTATCCAATGCTTTGGTTAGTACAGTATATACGTAAGAATTTTTGAGGATGAACAACAAGAGTGGTTACTCTCCCCAATTTCCTAACTCATCAACATCTACAGCGACCCGAATCCAGTGTCGCCTCAGGGCTTTCTGTATGGAGTTGGTCACACAGGAGTAACCACTGCTAGTAGCCCTGTAGTTGGCAATAAAGTGTACCTTACTTCCTTCAAAAATAACATATCAGTACAGGGATCAGCTACTTGGTTTTCATTTGCCATATATTCTAAACCAGTTGTTATTATTATGATTAGGGTCCTTCAATAGTAATAGGTAATAAACTTAATTTAGCTTCTCAATTCAAACTCTATAATTTATAAATTGGGATTACAGGTCTCAAATAGTAAACCGCCCTGCTCTTTTCAAACATTCATCAAAAATGGCTTGTTATATGCAATGACTGACAGAGAAAGGAAGGACCACACGTGTGACATCCTTCTCCACAAAGCTGCTTCTCAATGGCCCTTAGTGACCTAAAAACAATCCTGTCTATATTGTTTCCTTTAGCAAATCCCTGTGAGGACAAGCGCAAAGCAAACACACCAGGGGTAAAAACACAAACAGGATTCTTTCATGTCCCTCTCCTGCCCCATCTCAACCGCAATGGATGACCGCACCGAGGACTGAAGGTGATAGGATATCCCCTTGAAACATCTAAACATAACATGCAGATCAAACAGGACTGTGGCCATACCACCCACCCGTTTGTCTGGAGTTATCTTAGCCATGCTGGTTGAGAACCCACGAGGGGAAGAAGGAGGAGGTGTGGAGGGGTTTCAACAGCTAAAGGAAGGTGGAAGTGAGAGTTTTAACCAGTAAATGTCTTTATGAGGAAACAGGATCTGACAAAAGAATTACAAGAGTGAAAATGGCCCTGGCAAAGTAAACAAAGCTATGTATTTACCCTGTTTATGATTTTAAATATTTGTTTTATGGCAAGTTAGGCATTGTGATTTGCCGTATTGTAGTGCGGACATTGGCAGACCGTTAAAGTTGAACTATATATACTGAATTATATGGCATATAAAATATCAAAAAAAGTGAATATGTATTGAATAAACTTGTAATATATTGATCTTTTCAGGCAATGGTATGGCATAAGAGTGCAATGGAATATTGGTTTTATACATGCTATTAAGTTTATCACCCTCAGAAAACAGTCCTCCTTCACGTGTATGGACCTCCTGCAGCTGCTCATACCTAAAGCAGCATAACTGATGAGACGAGACAGTCTTTCCGAGAACACAAATGAGAGAAAGAGAACGGAGTGGGAGACAGAGGCCTGTCCATTTCTCCTACTCCCTTGTGCTAATGTTATACTTCCATCTGGTTATCTTCCAACACAACTTGGGTGGCCCACCCCAAGTACTTGACATCTTGATGCACTTCAGCAGTTTTACATACACACAACCTTTGTAGAAAAATAAATGTGTCATTCGTCACCACATATGCTGATCTGCGCAGGGGCTGAGGGGGAGAACAGGGAGGAGTGTGCGCTGGCTGTGAGTAGGGGGTAAACCAACTTTTGAGTTACTGCTATCCTCAATAATGAAGGAAAACTTGGATAGAAAAGGAGAAGCCACTAGGTACAAGTACCTGTAATCTTGCATCCCTTCAACGGATGCAAGCAAAATGTTTTTGAGAACTTCAATTACAGTTGATCCTGTATTTTCAAAGTGATGGGTCAGTTACAGCATGTAAAGGTATACTGCTGATCCCAAGAATGACATAATACAATTATTTTATCACAGGTAAATGCATACTTAAGTATTTGTATTCCTGAATAATGACTTATGGCTAACGGATATCCTGTCAGAGGCGTAAAAAGGGAGTTCAATGTAAAAATGTTTCCTTGTAAGTAACCAGGTAACCTTTTATAAGTATCATTTGCTATGATGTTCATTGTCATTATTTGTTACATATGTAAATACCTGGGATGTGCCCCCTGCAGGTGTAGTAGAATTCACGGCAAAAGTCCTGGCAAAGTTGCGGCAGGTCGGGCTCCCTGTGTGGCATCTTATCCATGTCCAGGGAGTGGAACAACACCTGGGCGTTAGGGGAGCAGCGTGCACACTTGATTTCCTCCAAGAGGCGTCCACATTCTGTATTATTTGTGGAGAAAACCTGGGGGACCACACACAGTATAGACCACAGGTTACAATGACAACTCTGTTATCTCAAAAAAGAATTGGTTGTGCAACATAATACAACAAATGGGACTTGTGCCTTGGTGCAATTACTGACCACCTCATTGAGAAGAAATTGCATGTTTACCACACCTTAAGCGAGGCTGATTTGTGGTCATTACGCGTAAGTACACAAAGAGTTAATCCTAAAGAAATTATCTGGATTATTTACCCGACAAATTAGAAGTAATAAAACACAATGTAATCTGTTTTAAGTCAGGAATGGTGTTGCAAGCACACACGCTCACAGGCTGGCTGGTAGTGCTTTGCTCTGTGTGAGGTCCACGTGTAAACACCAATTTGGAGATAGACGGCACATCATTCCTGCTCTGGTATCAACAAATTAGCAGTCTGTCGAAGTCAATTAGACTGGCGGACTCAAGGCCAACATATGGACGGCTTGCACTTTGGTTATGTTGTGAGACACTCTACTAACTAAAGACATTTTCTGTTCGATGTGCCGTTCAACAGGTGGCAAATCTTTGAGAATCCTTTGTAATCCCGACACTGTGTTTGGAGTTCTGCTCTGTATGCATGCCCTGTACAGTAATGCCATGTTTTCTGTTGGGGATGCTACCCCCCTGATCTAAATTGGCCATTGATTCGGCATGGCATAGGATGGCACGCTGTCACATGTGTGTTCTCTCAGCCATGCCCTGGGTCCATATGTTACTGGGATGGATTCCAATATTGTCATCATCCAGACCAGAACAAGTGGAGCTTTGTGTGTTGTCTTTTCCGACATCTCATTGAATGTGTTCCTCAAAAGCAGAATGACAGCCAAGTACATTTTTTAGGTACATGGGTTAGGGTTAGTACATAGGTTAATTTTTCATGTTTAAAAAAAAACAAAACCAAAAACTTTGTATTAACGTTGTCAGTGATATAGGTATGGACCTGTAATAAGAACACACTGGCACACAAAAACTTGAGAAAAGGCACTGGTTTGAGCCAACACTCATCCAAACAAAACACTTGCCCTTGGGGAATAGGTGTAAATTGGTAGGAAGGGGGTGGGGTGGTTGGGGGGCACAGCAGTGGACACACACCCTCTCAAAGGCATTAACACTTGGACAGGATTGGTGACTGGGTGAGAATGATGTTCTCCAGCTTCTCCCATTAGTGAAACCAACAAACACAATAGTGTTGTTGTTATTCTTTCTCCATAATCAGAAAGGACTCTGTGTGTGGGCAGTGTAGTGGGGAGGAGGAGAAGTCGAGTTCGTCCCATTCAGTTTCCCCCTCTTATTTGCATGACTTGAGCAAATTAAATGATGCAATATGGCTTTTTGTCGCAGCACAAAGTGCGCTACCACCCAGTTACTGAATGATTCCAGGAGTGGTTTACATGAGAATGGCAAGGCGAGAATTATAATGGAACCCGCGATTGTCGCACACTGTCGTGTTTCTCATTCAAGCTCAATGGGCTTCAACCACAGAACATGACATCACGCGATGTGAATGTTTAACAGTTTTCAGCAAAGACAAACCATGTGCATTTTATATTTGCTGTCACATCTCGGCAGTCCACTTTAATTTATCAACTAGTCTAGTCGTTACACAGTCGCACCCACACGCACTGCACCAAGAAAGTGCAATAAACACTCAGCTTTTATCACTTCTGTCAATTTTACACTTTGAGAACGATGTGGGCTGGCTCCCGTAAATTGGCAACTTCCATATGGCAACTCTGAAGGGCTCTGTCATGATGAATTATAGATTCATAACACATACGGGCTCAAAACACCTGGCAACAAGACTGCAACAACTACACAAACTATGTCATATTTGAAGGGAGATAAAGGAAAATATTTGTTTGAGGTTAGGAACCGTCTGACAGCGCAGGGAATTTTCCCCAGACTCCGACCTCACACAAACTCAAAGGAATGTTTGAAATAAAGGATTTTAGATTCTTGTGGAGACACTCGGAAGCGACATTATGTCCCCTGGCCCGAGGCAGTTCCTTCAGTATACCCTTTATTTAAGTGCGAGCAATAAGCGCTCGAATGACAACACACAATGGTTGTAAACGCAGCCCCGAGGCGTTAAGCTCTTTAAGCAGACCCCCGCTAAATGTAAAGAATGCCAAGGCGGTGGACAGATCTAGTGGACGTACCCTGGCATCTCTGTGGAGGATCTGATAGGCGGCTCTCCTGGTGGGGCAACACGACACCCGGGGGTACAGCTTGTGGCAGACGTCTCCGCTGGTGCCAGCGCTGCCTTCAAGTAGCACTTTACGATCTCTTTTCTTCAGCCTTTTGGGCATGCTTCCGTCGTAACAACGTCTCCTCCTGGAACTCAGCTCACCCCTCTCGCCGAATTTCGCGTCTCCACATTCCCACACGTTCACCGCAATAGCCAACACCAAAACAAACTGCAAGTGCTTCATGGTAAAAAAAAAACAAAAAAACAAACAAACAAGGAAAATAGAAATAATAATAATAAAAAAATAAATAAAAAAAAGTAAAGCAGGGAAGATAAAGTTAACGGCCTAGAAAAACTAGCCTATGAAAAATAAAATGAAATAAAAAAGCCAAATGGAATAAGCAAAATGGGTAAAGATATTATTTTACAAATTATTTTTTTTAAATAATAAATATTAAAAAATATGTTAATACTGAAGCGTGGTAAACGGAATCAAAATGCAATTGAAAAACAAACAAAATGTATCCTGAAGACAATCATTTAAAACTCCGAAGCGTTCCCCTTTAGGCGTAATTCCTCCACATGAAGCACAACAGTATGTTCGTGCACGAGTCAGAAAATAAGAAATGAAAAGTTGTGTGTCACTATAGTCCTCAGTGCGCTCACATGTTTCTCACTGCTCTTTCCTCCTTCTTTTTAACCAGCGCGCGAGAACAGGGGCGAGCACGGTGACGTAGGGCCAGTGTGCGGGTGCGCGCGCACGAGGAGCTTACCTGCGCAGCACATGGATGGACCCCAATGGCGGGAAAGCCTCCACGGATACCGGGGTGAGTGGCACGGTTAAAGACGACTATGGTGTTATCAATGATACCTCCTCAAAGAAATGAAGTTTACGTGTTTCATTGAATGCTTTTGGAATCGAATTGGCTTCCAGCATTATGTTCAGTGTGCCCCATTTGGCATTGAGATGAGCTAGCTAACTGATTAAACGAGAATAGTATCCCACGTGCCTTCTGTTCACTTTTGGAAAAAATAACTTTTAACTGATATAGATTTTATTTTTTACAGGTTAAATTTCAGGTACACTTTATTGCAGTATTCCCTGCAAACCTATTTGAGTTGTGGCACTCCTTTATCTTTGAAAACTATCACACAGCTCACGATCAGCACAATGTAGTATGTCTTTTCACTTACCAATTAGGCTATATTGGATATTGGATAATTTCTCAAAGCCACATCAAACAACATCTTAAGGCACTCTAACGTGCTGCGTTCCACTGGTTGAAAAACATGACTTTATTGTCCCTGTTTCAGCTTTAGACAGGGACAGTGTACAATAAACATTAGCCAAAAGAGGCATTATACCAGCTGGTAAGATAAGATAAGTCTTTATTCGTCCCACAGTGGGGACATTTCAATGATATAGCAGAAGATGCCAACTTACACTTGTTGTCCTTGAGCAGGTTGATGTCACAGTAAAACAGAAACCTACAGGATGAAAGAAATGGTCAACTAATATTTTCAAAATGTTTACTATAAGGCCACCAAGCTATTCATTTGGGCAAGAATTAAATGACTTCTTGGCACTGAATCTTGTTTTATCCCAAATTATATGAAGTACATTATGTCAGGACAACACACCATTCCTTACAGATACAGACAAATACACTCTAATTTTCCTCCTATAAAATGTCAGATGATAACAATTGTAAAGCTTACGTCCACGTCAAAGCAATTATTGGCAGAATCGCAACCCTCCCTATCTGGATACTCAGAGAATCTGCACTGTGTTCCATTAGCAGCACCTGTTCCTACTTGGGGGTCTCCCAGCTCAGCTTATCAACAAGAATCTGGAACGGCTGGAATCTAGGAGGGGTTGATGTGATTGTGCACAATTATGGAAATGAACATGCGCACTTTTGCAGACACTACGATGACTTGACCCACCAACAATTTCCCCCTGCTTGGTACATTCTTTACGTTTTTTAACTACAGGACAGGAAGTAGAGCCAAGTAAGTGCTACTGCAGTAATTTGGATGTAAAGGGAGGAAAAGGACTGGGCTGTGAGTAGTGAAAGAATCTGCCACCACCACTAGGGCTCTAAGCGGGGAGCAGAATATATGTGCATTGTTGAACAGTGTGAAAACATGTGGGATGCAGCTGTGCAGTGGAGAGGAGTACATCTGCTGTGAGAGTGAGAGTCCATTAGACAGACTGCAGTTGGACAGATGTAGATTTGAGCTGACAAGAGTCCTCTGACGGATACACTTGCAGAATACCAACATTTAAATGACATTCTTTGCATTTTACACATTAACTCCCTGGAGTTCTAACTGCAAAATGTGCAATTGTTTGACTTTTTGTCAGTGGCAGTTTTGAGAAGATTGTTTTAAACAAATGTTTTTCTAACTGTCTGCAGGTTCAGCGGGAAGTTTTTATTTGAGTATGGTCAAAGACACAGAGAGGACATTCCAATACGGACCCAGATAGATGTAAGCCTCCATTGAGGACATATTAAGAATACATCTCTCACATATGTTTGCTTTATCATTGTAATAATGACAATATTTTTAATTTTTAGTTTCCTTGATTCAAGCTGGCATAAATTCCAACCTTCAAGGAAATTCCTGAAAAGCTGCGTTCAAGGTAAACTGGATGTTTTTTCAGGGTCTATACCAATAATTAGTGTTCAAGGAGATAATGGGAAATGATCTGTGCCAACATTTAGAACAATACGAAGTCCAACACATAACTGTGACTCACAGGGCTCTTTCTTAAATATGCAAAAAAAAGGCAACAGAAACAAATTGTTCTCAACATTGTACTTTTTGGGCACAACCAATATGCATTATTAAAGGAGCTATACCCGTTTCTGCAAGGTTTGAATGTTTAGCACCGCCCCCCAACTCGCTCACAGGCTTCTCATTTCCCCTACGCTCTCATCCCACGAAGCCACATCTGATACGTATGCTAACATTAGCATGAGCGGAACTTCTTGTAAGCTGTACAACAATCACTGATGAAATGGTACAAAAGCAACGTACTGCTAACAATGTATATAAGTAAAAGAATACAGCTAGTTTCGCGTACAAATTTATTAATTTAAAGTAACATTAGAATATATTCCAATATTTAACTAGAAACTTGCAATGGCTGAAGCCATTGCGATTGACTGCGGAACAGATCTAATGTGGAAATCTGCTAAAAAAAATCCTTGAAATCCTTTAAAAAGCCTTGAAACTGTTAAAATACTTGATAGATATTTGAAACTCCTGAAGTCCTTGAAATTGTTGAAACCTTTAAACTCCTGAAATCCTTGAAACTGTTGAAACATTGAAACTCCTGAAATCCTTGAAACTTTTTTAAACCTGGAAACTGTTGAAAGTGTGGAAACTCCTGAAATCCTTGAACCTCCTGATATCCTTGAAACTGGTTAAATTCTTAAACAGCTGAAATCCTTGAAACTACTGAATGTATTGAAAGTGTCCTTGAAACTGAAAAATCCCCTCACCGCTGAAACAATTTGGTTCCTGTAACTAAGGAAACCTGGTCTGTGGTCATTATCTGGTGGTGGTCTGAGTCTTCGTTTGGGTCTTGGTCTGGTGGTATAATGCAACCTATTAGGTTGCATTATACATGAAAAAACCCTATTAAGTTGCATTATACTGGTTAACATGAAAAAAACCCTATTAAGTTGCATTATACTGGTTAACATGAAAAAAACCCTATTAAGTTGCATTATACTGGTTTACATGGAAAAATCCCTATTAAGTTGCATAATACTGGTTTACATGGAAAAATCCCCATTAAGTTGCATTATACTGGTTTACATGAAAAAAACCCTATTAAGTTGCATTATACTGGTTTACATGGAAAAACCCCTATTAAGTTGCATTATACTGGTTTACATGTAAAAACCCCTATTAGGTTACATTATAGTGGTTTACATGTAAAAATCCTTATTAAGTTGCATTATACTGGTTTACATGTAAAAACCCCTATTAAGTTCCATTATACTGGTTTACATGTAAAAACCCCTATTAAGTTCCATTATACTGGTTTACATGTAAAAACCCTATTAAGTTGCATTATACTGGTTTACATGAAAAAAAACCCTATTAAGTTGCATTATACTGGTTTACATGGAAAAATCCCTATTAAGTTGCATAATACTGGTTTACATGGAAAAATCCCCATTAAGTTGCATTATACTGGTTTACATGGAAAAATCCCTATTAAGTTGCATTATACTGGTTTACATGGAAAAATCCCTATTAAGTTGCATAATACTGGTTTACATGGAAAAATCCCCATTAAGTTGCATTATACTGGTTTACATGGAAAAATCCCCATTAAGTTGCATTATACTGGTTTACATGGAAAAATCCCTATTAAGTTGCATTGTACTGGTTTACATGGAAAAAACCCTATTAAGTTGCATTATACTGGTTTACATGGAAAAACCCCTATTAAGTTGCATTATACTGGTTTACATGTAAAAACCCCTATTAAGTTGCATTATACTGGTTTACATGGAAAAATCCCCATTAAGTTGCATTATACTGGTTTACATGAAAAAAAACCCTATTAAGTTGCATTATACTGGTTTACATGAAAAAACCCTATTAAGTTGCATTATACTGGTTTACATGGAAAAATCCCTATTAAGTTGCATTATACTGGTTTACATGGAAAAATCCCTATTAGGTTGCATGATTACACTGAAGTCCTTGAAACTGCTGAAGTCCTTGAAACTGCTGAAGTCCTTGAAACTGCTGAAGTCCTTGAAACTGTTGAAGTCCTTGAAACTCTTGAAATCTTGAAACTGCTGAAATCCTTGAAACTGTTGAATCCTTGAAACTGTTGAATCATTGAAACTGTAGAAATGTCTGAAAGAGCTGAAGTCCTATTAAAATGCATGGGCCTATTAAAATGCATTGCAGAATTCTCAATGCAGATTTTTGTCCGATTGCGGAAAAACCGGAAATCGCTGAAGTCCCAAAAGTAATAGCAATAATCTCCCAAACATGTGGAACGTTTTGATGTATAACTTGTGGAAATTGTTGAAAATGTGAAAGCTGTGAAACGTGTCAAAAAAAATGACGGAATAAAGAAATACAAAACCAATGGTTGACTGCGGAAGGTTCCGCAGTCAATCAATTATAATTTATTATACAGCTCCTCACAGCAGCAGTAGAACACTCCATTGACTTTAATGTAATTTCAAAACATTCTGCCGATCA